AATAAAACCTTCCTTCTTGGCACCTTGATCTTGAACTTCCTAACAGTGAGGAAATACAATTCTATTGTTTAAGCCACTCAGCCTTTGGTATATTGTTATGGCAGCCTGAGCAGAATAATACAGTGTTCATGGATCAGGAAACTTAACATTGTCAAGATGTCAGTTCTGTCCAGATTGATCTATAGATTGAATACGATCCCAATTAAGATCCAAGCAGACATTTTCATGGAAATTGTCAAGCTGGTTCTAAAATTTATATGGAAATTCAATGGACCTACAATAGCCAAAACCACTTTGAAAAAGAATAAAACTGTCTTATTTAACTGATTTCAAGAAATTATTATACAGCTACAGTAATCAAGACAGTGTGATACTGGTATAAAGACAGCTATACAGATCAGTGGAACATAGTGGAAAGCCCAGAACTAGACCAGTACATATAAAGCCAACTGATTTTTTGTAAAGCTGTCAAAGCACATTAAGAGACATGTACAAGAATGTGCAGCACTATTCATGTTAGCTCTAAGCTGGAAAGCCACACAATGTTCATCAATAGTAGAATGGATTAATGAATTATAGAATGGGACACTATACCATAATGAAAATGAATAAACTATAACTGTCTATAAAAATATAAATAAGTCTCGGCCAGGAGCAGTGGCTCACGCCTGTAATCCAAGCACTTTGGAGGCCAAGGCGGGTGGATCACCTGAGGTCGGGAGTTCAAGACCAGCCTGATCAACATGGTGAAACCCCGTCTTAAATTAAAAAAAAAAAAAAAAAAAAATATATATATATATATATATATATAGTCTCATAAACATAATGTCAAATGAAAGCCAGACACAAAAAGGTATGTACTCTATGATTGCAGCTACATATATAAGACAGGAAAACTAACCTATAGAGTTAGAATTCAGCATAATGATTAGTCTAGAAGGGCAGGGGAGGGACTGGAAAGGTCTGTGAAGAGGCATCTGAGGGGCTGGCAATGTTCTGTTTCTTGATATGGATGCTGGTACACACGTGTGTTTGATTTCTGAAAATTTATCAAGCTGTATACTTAAGATTTGTGCATTTTTCTGTGTGTAGCCCATATTTTGATAATTTTTTTTTACTCCTATTCAGAGAGCTCAACATAACACCCAACCAGCCATTGAAGAATACAGAGTACAGATTCTTTTCATCTGGATTTTACATTTCTATTAGTATCAGTTAGATCATATTCAGGATTTTTTGTTTGCTTGTTTGTTTTTGTAATCTTTTTTTAAAAACATTCTTTTCTTTTTTTTTTTTTTCTTTTTTTTTTTTTTTTTTTTGAGACAGAGTCTTGCTACGTCACCCAGGCTAGAGTGTAGTGGTGCAATCTCGGCTCACTGTAACCTCTGTCTCCTGGGTTCAAGTGATTCTTATGCCCCAGCCTCCTGAGTAGCTGGGATTACAGGTGTGCCATCATACCTGGCTAATTTTTTGTATTTTTAGTAGAGATGGAATTTCACCATGTTGGCCAGAGTGGTCTTGAACTCCTGGCCTCAAGCAATCCACCTGCCCTGACCTCCCAAAGTGCTGGGTTTACAGGCATAAGCCACCGGGCCCCCACTGTTTTTGTAACCATAACAGAGTGTTGGCTCATGTTACACTGACACGTCCTACTTGTCACTTCTCACATTCTTTAAAATAATTTCTTTTTTTTACCTACTGTTGTCTGTTTCCTTTTAGAAGCTTTATTATTATTATTATTATTTTAACTTTTCACATTTAGATCTGTATTTTGTGTATATGTATCAGGAGAAGACAAGGTTCACTTTTTTCTATGTGGACCCAGCACCAGTTTTTGGAAGGACACTTCTTTCTTCACAGCACTGCAGTATCATCTTTGCTATAAATCAGATGATCAATTGTCTGTTTCTGGAACCTCTAATCTGTTCCATTGGTCAACACCACACTGCTTCAATTGCTTTAACTTAATAACCGATAGTGTAATTCCTCGAGCTTTGTTTTTCTTCAAAATTGGCATGGGCATTCTTGAGCTTTTGCATTTCCACATACATTTTAGAATCAGCTTGTTAATGTTCACACAGAAAAAAAATTGCTGAAATTTTGATTGGGATTGCATTAGACGTATAGTTCCACTGGAGGAAAAATGACTGCTTTACAGTATTGAGCCTTCCAATTCACGAACATGGTGTAATTCTCTACTTACTTAGGTAATTTAACATTTCTCTTTGTTTTCGGTGTTAAGAGTCTTGCATTGTTTTGTTGATTTATTTATAGGTGTTTGATTTTTTATGCTACTGTAAATGGTGTCATTAAAAAGTTTTATTTTCCATTTGCTTGTGGGTATAGAAATGTATTTGACTTCTGTACCTTGACTTTTAAGGTCAGGGTCCAGAGACCTTATAAATTACTCATTAATTCTAATAATTTTTCTTTATATCCTTTTGGGTTTTCTATGTATTCAGTTTTGTTGTCTGAGAATACTGACATTATGTTGTGTGTATTTTGAAGCTCTGTTTCTAGATGTATAAATGTTTATGATTGCTATGTTCTTTTAATGAATTGACAGCCATAAAATTGCCTTTTTCTTATCCCTGGTTATATTTCCCCTCTGAAGTCTGCTTTTGTCTGATGTTCTACAGCAACTCTTGCTTTCTTTTGCTTAGTGTTAGGAAGGTATATCTTTTTTTCATCTTTTTACTTTTAACCCATTTGTCCTTCATATTTAAAGTATTTTCCTAGTAAGAGCATACTGTTGTGTCTTGTTTTCTTACTCAATGTGACAATCTCTGCTATTTAATTGGAGGTGTCTATTGATATGGTTGATTTATCTTTTACTTTTTTTTGAGATGGAGTTTTGCTCTTATTGCCCAGGCTGGAGTGCAATGGTGCAATCTTGGCTCACTGCCACCTCTGCCTCCCAGGTTCAAGCGATTCTACTGCCTCAGCCTCCTGAGTAGCTGGGATTTTAGGCATGTGCCACCATACCCAGCTAATTTTTTTGATAATTTTAGTAGAGACAGGGTTTCACCATGTTGATCAGGCTGGTCTCAAACTCCTGACCTCAGGTGATCTACCCACCTCAGCCTCCCAAAGTGCTGGAATTACAGGCATGAGCCATTGCACCTGGCAGATGTGGCTGGATTTCAATGTACCATTTTACTATTTGTTTTCTATTTCTGCTATCTCTTCTTTGTTCCCCTTTTCCTCTTTTACTGCTTTCTTTTGTATTAAATATTCTTTTTATGATTTTATTTTATCACCTTTATTGACATTAGCTAAACTGCTTTCTTTTGTTCTTTTAGTGATTGCTTTAGGCTTCATAATGCACATTATTAACTTATCACACATACGTTCAAGACATGTTATAATGCTTCACATATGGTATGAGGACCTTACAACACTGTACTTTCATTTCACCCCTTCTGGCCTTTGTGCTATTGTTGTCAAACATTTTTCTTCCACATGGATTAGAAACTCCACAATGCCAGGTTACTCTTGCTTAAAACCATCAATTACCTCTTAAGGTGATTTAAGTAATAAGAAATTAAGTCTTTTATATTTTTCCACATATTCACTATTTCTGGTGTTCTTCATTCCTTTATGTAAATCCAGATTTTCCTTTGGTATAATTCTCATTCGGCCTTAAGGACCTCCTTCAATATTTCATTGTACTGGTGGTTTGCTAGTGATCAATTTTTTAATATTTTGTGTCTGAAAAGGTCTTTATTTAGTTTTTGTTTCTGAAAGATTTTCTGTGTGTATGAATTCTATGGTTTGTTTCCCTCTGGTACCTTAAAGATGTCACTTCACTCACTTCTCATTTGTCTATATTTTTTTTTTATGGGACACGGTCTTACTCTGTCTTCACTTTGGCTTGTATTTGTTGGCTATATCTTCAAGTTTACTAATCTTTTTTTCTTCAGTGTCTAACCTGTTGGCAATCCTAGCCAGAGTATTTTTCATTTCAGATGAATATTTTTATCTTTAGGAGTTTGACTTGGGTTTTTAAAAAAATTTTCCTTGCCTACCCTTATCATAATCATTTCCTCTACCTTCTTGAACTATGTGAAGTAATAGCAATTTTTAACACACTGCCTACTAATTCTATCATCTGTGCCATTTCAGGATATGTTTCTCATGCTCGATTTTTCTTTTTTCTCTTCATTAAGAGTCATATATTCATTTCTTTTCTTTCTTTTCTTTCTTCTTTTTTTTTTTTTTTTTGATACAGAGTCTTGCTCTGTCACCCAGGCTGGAGAACAGTGGCATAATCCTGGCTCACTGCAACCTCTGCCACCCAGGTTCAAGTGATTCTCCTGCCTCAGCTTCCCGAGTAGCTGGGACTACAGATGTCTGCCACTAAGCCCAGGTAATTTTTTTTTTTTTAAGAGGGTGTCTCACTCTGTTGCCCAGGCTGGAGTGCAGTGGTGTGATCTTGGCTCACCGCAACCTCTGCCTCCCAGATTCAAGCTATTCTCCTGACCCAGCCTCCTGAATAGCTAGGATTACAGGCACATGCTACCATGTCCAGCTAATTTTTGTATTTTTAGTAGAGACAGGGTTTCACCATGTTGGCCAGGATGGTCTTGATCTCTTGACCTTGTGATCCGCCTGCCTCGGCCTCCCAAAGTGCTGGGATTACAGGCATGAGTCACTTCACCTGGCCTAATTTTTGTATTTTTAGTAGAGATGGGGTTTCACCATGTTGGCCAAGCTGGTCTCAAACTCCTCACCTCAGGTGATGCCCCCCTCCCCACCTCGGCCTCCCAAAGTGCTGGGATTACAGGTGTGAGCCACAGTGCCCAATTTGAGTCATAAAATCTTGCTTGCTGAAACACTCATCAACTTTTGAACTCTTCCCTCTACTGTGCCCTAATTGGATTCCCCAACATTGTAACTGTTAGTCCTAATTCTGTGTTTTAGAGTTATATAAGTTCCATGCTATTGGTCCCTGTAGCACCTTCCTTTATGATACTTCTCAACATTTTAGATGTCTCACTTACTTGTGTGATCATCAGATAAATGTCTTTGCTTTTCTGACCAGATTCCCTCCATGGCACAGGTTCTAGGTATGCTCCTGGTCATCACTATATCCCTGCGTAGGGCACAGGCATGGTGTATTTGAAGTCCTTGATAAATACCTGTTGAATGAGAATGAAAAAAACACTCGGCTTTGGTGACTGGCATCTATTAAGACTGACACTGTGTCATCTGACCTGAATTTGCATTTGTAGTTTTAGAACTCAGCTCTTTGCTGATTGAAAGGGAGTTGGGGATTGGATCCAAGATGGCCGTTTAGGAACAGCTCGGAGTTGCAGCTCCCAGTGAAAGCACAGACGGTGAGTGGACACCGCATTTCTATGGCCCACGGACCAGGAGATTCCCAGGCGGAGGGCCCCACAGGTCGCCAGCGCGGCTGTTTTGGCCTGCGCGGTTCTTTTGGTTGGCGGGGCTGCCCCATGTGGCTGCTTTGTCGGTGCCCCGACTGGCGGCTCCGTACAAAATACACTGGTCCAGGCACCCTATTGGCAGGCAATTGGAGACCCGGGAAGTTGCCCATTCATCTGATTAAAGAGGGGACTGGCCAGGAGATTCCTGGGCAAAAAAAAGTGCCACGAATCTCAGCGCTGCTGTTTAAGCTAGCACAGTGGGTCACCAGACAGGAAATCACAGAGATTCGGTGCCATTTCAACAGGTGACTGGAACATCTGGGATAAAAAAGAAAAAAAAAAGGCTCTGAGGCAGGGAGCCAGGTGATCAGGCTCGGCTGGTCCCACCCCCACAAAAGAACAGCAATCAGAAACTCTCAGGATTGAGAGTCTCACAGCAAGCACAGCTGAACCTGGGACGGTCCAGCTCTGTGGGGGAAGGGCGTCCACCATTACCGAGGCACTCCACCACTATGGAGGTGGTCCGCCATTGCTGAGGCAGCCTGCGTTGCCAAGGCAACCTGCCATTGCTGAGGCGGCCTGCCGTCGCCAAGGCAACCTGCCATTACAGAGAGTCCGCCAATACAGAGGTGGGCCACCATTGCTGAGGCGGTTTTAACTACACCCATATAAACAAGACTGCAGAAAAGGTCACACGGCAGGTGGGTGGAGCTCAGCAAAGCCTCTGCAGGCAGACAGTGACTAGGCAGCCTCCTTGCTGGGCAGGACAGCCCTGAAACAAACAAAAACAATAGGCAGCAGCACAATGGAAACTCATAAAGCCCTAATTCCCCGGGACAGAACATCTGGGAACAAAAAGTGGTTTATGAGTTCAGCTGCAGCAGACCTAAACATATATGCCCAGCAGCTCTGAATGAACAACGGAGCTCATAGCTCAGCACTTGAGCTCCTATAAAGGAAAGACTGTCTCCTCAAGCTGCTCCTTGACCCCTGTATATCCAAAGAGTCACCTCATAAATGAGAGAGCAGACTGACATTTGGCAGGTATCCTTCTGGGACAAAGACAGCAGAAGAAGAAACTGGTAGCAACCCTTACTGTTCTGCAGCTGCTGCAGGTGATCCCCAGGCAAGCAAGATCTGGAGTGGACCTCAAAGTCATTCAGCAGAGGGGCTAGTCTGTTAGAAGGAAAACTAAGACACAGAAATAACTTCATCATCAACAAACAGAATGTCCACTCAGAGACCCAATCTGAAAGTCAGCAACTACAAAGATGACAGGTAGATAAATCCATAAAGATGGGAAGAAACCAGCAAAAAAAGGATGAAAACACCCAAAACCAGAACACCTCTCCTCCTACAAGGGATCACAACTCCTCACCAGCAAGGGAAAAAGGTTGGATGGAGAATGAATGTGATGAAATGATAGAATCAGACTTCAGAAGGTGGGCAGTAAGAAACTTCTGTGAACTTAAAGATCATGTTCTAACCCAACGCAAAGAAACTAAGAACCTTGAAAAAAGATTTGACAAAATGCTAACGAAAATGGACAAATTAGAGAGGAATATAAGTGAATTGATAGAGCTGAAAAACACAACACGAGAACTTCACGAAGCATGCACGAGTTTCAACAGCCGAATTGACCAAGCAGAAGAAAGGATATCAGAGGTCGAAGATCAACTCAATGAAATAAAACGAGAAGGCATGATTAGAGAAAAAAGGGTAAAAAGGAATGAACAAAGTCTCCAAGAAATGTGGGACTATGTGAAAAGACCTAATCTACATTTGATGGGTGTACCTGAATGCGACGAAAAGAATGAATCCAAGCTGGAAAATACTCTTCAGGATATTATCCAGGAAAACTTCCCCAACCTAGCAAGGCAGGCCAATATTCAAGTCCAGGAAATACAGAGACCACCACAAAGATACTCCTCACGAAGAGCAACCCCAAGGCACATAATCGTCAGATTCACCAGGGTTGAAATGAAGGAGAAAATGCTAAGGGCAGCCGGAGAGAAAGGTCAGGTTACCCACAAAGGGAAGCCCATCAGACTCACAGCAGATCTCTCAGCAGAAACCCTACAAGCCAGGAGAGAGTAGGGGCCAATATTCAACATCCTTAAAGAAAAGAACTTTCAACCCAGAATCTCCTATCCAGCCAAACTAAGCTTCATAAGTGAAGGAAAAATAAAATCCTTTGTGAACAAACAAGTACTCAGAGATTTCATCACCACCAGGCCTGCTTTACAAGAGCTCCTGAAAGAAGCACTACACATAGAAAGGAACAATCAGTACCATCTACTTCAAAAACATGCCAAATGGTAAAGAGCATCAACACAATGAAGAATCCGCATCAACTAAAGGGCAAAACAGCCAGCTAGCACCAAAATGGCAGTATCAAATTCACATATAACAATATTAACCCTAAATGTAAATGGACTAATGCCCCAATCAAAAGACACAGACTGGCAAATTGGATAAAAAGCCAAAACCGATCGGTGTGCTGTATCCAGGAAACCCATCTCACATGCAAGGATACCCAAAGGCTCAAAATAAAGGGATGGAGGAAGATTTACCAAGCAAATGGAGAGCAAATAAAAGCAGAAGTTGCAATTCTCATCTCTGAAAAAATAGACTTTAAAGCAACAAAGATCAAAAGAGACAAAGAAGGACATTACATAATGGTAAAAGGATCAGTGCAACAAGAAGAGCTAACGATCCTAAATATATACGCACCGAATACAGGAGCACCCAGAGACATAAGGCAAGTTCTTAATGACTTACAAAGAGACTTAGACTCCCACAAAATTATAGTGGAAGACTTTAACATCCCATTGTCAACATTAGACAGATCAACCAGACAGAAAATTAACAAGGATATCCAGGACTTGAACTCAGATCTGACCAAGCAAACCTAATAGACATTTACAGAACTCTCCACCCCAAATCCACAGAATATACATTCTTCTCAGCACCACATCACACCTACTCTAAAATTGACCACATAATTGGGAGTAAATCACTCCTCAGCAAATGCAAAAGAACAGAAATCATAACAAACGGTCTCTCAGACCACAGTGAAATCAAGTTAGAACTCAACATTCAAAAACTAACTCAGAACCGCACAGCTTCATGGAAACTGAACAACTTACTCTTGAATGTTGACTGGATAAACAATGAAATGAAGGCAGAAATAAAGATGTTCTTCAAAACCAACGAGAATGAAGACACAACATAGCAGAATCTCTGGGATACATTTAAAGCAGTCTCTAGAGGAAAATATATAGCAATAAGTGCCCACATGAGAAGCAAGGAGAGATCTAAAATTGACACCCTATCATCAAAATTGAAAGAGCTAGAGGAGCAAGATAAAAAAAAACTCAAAACCTAGCAGAAGACAAGAAATAGCTAAGATCAGAGCAGAACTGAAGGAGATAGAAACACAAAAAACCCTTCAAAAAATCAATAAATCCAGGAGCTGGTTTTTTGAAAAGATCAACAAAATAGACCATTAGCCAGATTAATAAAAAAGAAAAGAGAGAATAACCAAATTGATGCAATAAAAAACAATAAAGGGGATATCACCACAGATTCCACAGAAATTCAAACCATCATCAGAGATTACTACAAACAACTCTATGCACATAAACTAGTCAACCTGGAAGAAATGGATAAATTCCTGGACACCTGCATCCTCCCAAGCCTAAACCAGGAAGAAGCTGAAACCCTGAACAGACCTATAACAAGGTCTGAAGTTGAGGCAGCAATTAAGAGCCTACCACCCAAAAAAAGCCCAGGTCCAGATGGGTTCACAGCCGAATTCTACCAGACATACAAAGAGGAGCTGGTACCATTCCTTCTGAAACTATTCCAAATAATCCAAAAAGAGGGAATCCTTCCCTGGTCATTTTATGAGACCAACATCATCCTGATACCAAAACCCGGCAGAGACTCAGCAAGAAAAGAAAACTTCAGGCCAATATCCATGATGAACACAGATGCAAAAATCTTCAATAAAATACTGGCAAGCCGATTGCAACAGCACATCAAAAAGGTTATCCATCATGATCAAGTAGCCTTCATCCCAGGGATGCAAGGTTGGTTCGACATACGCACATCTATAAACGTAATTCACCATATAAACAGAACCAAAGACAAAAACCACATGATTATCTCAATTGATGCAGAGAAGGCCTTTGACAAAATTCAACAGCCCTTTATGCTAAAAACCCTCAATAAGCTAGGCATTGACAGAACGTATCTCAAAACAATAAAAGCTATTTACGACAAACCAACAGCCAATATCATACTGAATGGGCAAAAACTGGAAGCATTCCCTTTGAAATCTGGCACTAGACAAGGATGCCCTCTCTCACCACTGCTATTCAATATAGTACTGGAAGTTCCAGCCAGAGCAATCAGGCAAGAAAAAGAAATAAAGGGTATTCAAATAGGAAAGGAGGAAGTCAAATTGTCTCTATTTGCAGACGACATGATTGTATATCTAGAAGACCCCATTGTCTCAGCCCAAAATCTCCTGAAACTGATAAGCAACTTCAGCAAAGTCTCAGGATACAAAATCAATGTCCAAAAATCACAAGCAGTGTGCAAAAATTACAATTCCTATACACCAATAACAGACTTAAAGAGAGCAAAATTAAGAACGAACTGCCATTCACAATTGCCACAAAGAGAATAAAATACCTAGGAATACAACTAACAAGGAATGTAAAGGACTGCTTCAAGGAGAACTACAAGCCATTGCTCAACAAAATAAGAGAGGACACAAACAGATGGAGAAGCATTCCATGTTCATGGTTAGGAAGAATCAACATCATGAAAATGGCCATACTGACCAAAGTAGTTTACAGATTCAATGCTATCCCCATCAAGCTACCAATGACTTTCTTCACAGAACTGGAAAAAAAAAAAACCTTAAACTTCATATGGAACCAAAAGAGAGCCCACATAGCCAAGTCAATTCTAAGCAAAAAGAACAAAGCGGGAGGTATCACACTACTGGACTTCAAACTATACTACAAGGCTGCAGTAATCAAAAGAGCATGATACTGGTACCAAAACAGAGATATAGACCAATGGAACAGAACAGAGGCCTCGGAGGCAACACAACATATCTACAACCATCTGATCTTTGACAAACCCGACAAAAACAAACAATGGGGAAAGAATTCCGTTTAATAAATGGTGTTGGGAAAACTGGCTAGCCATGTGCAGAAAGCAGAAACTGGACCCTTTCCTGACACCTTACACTAAAATTAACTCCAGATAGATTAAAGACTTAAACATAAGACCTAACACCTTAAAAACCCTAGAAGAAAATCTAGGCAAAACCATTCAGGACATAGGCATAGGCAAGGACTTCATGACCAAAACACCAAAAGCACTGGCAACAAAAGCCAAAATAGACAAATGGAACCTAATCAAACTCCACAGCTTCTGCACGGCAAAAGAAACAGTCATTAGAGTGAATCAGCAACCAACAGAATGGGAAAAAATTTTTGCAGTTTACCCATCTGACAAAGGGCTGATATCCAGAATTTACAAAGAACTAAAACAGATTTACAAGAAAAAAAACAAACAAGCCCATTCAAAAGTGGACAAAGGATATGAACAGATACCTTACAAAAGAAGACATACAGGAGGCCAACAAACATGAAAAAATGCTCATCATCACTGGTCGTCAGAGAAATGCAAATCAAAACTACATTGAGATACCATCTCACGCCAGTTAGAATGGTGATCATTAAAAAATCCAGAGACAACAGATGCTGGAGAGGATGTGGAGAAATAGGAACACTTTTACACTGTTGGTGGGAGTGTAAATTAGTTCAACCATTGTGGAAGACAGTGTGGCGATTCCTCAAGGACCTAGAAATAGAAATTCCATTTGACCCAGCAATCCCATTACTGGGTATATATCCAAAGGATTATAAATCATTCTACTATAAGGACACATGCACACGAATGTTCATTGCAGCACAGTTTACAATAGCAAAGACCTGGAACCAACTCAAATGCCCATCAATGACAGACTGGACAGGGAAAATGTGGTACATATACACCATGGAATAGTATGCAGCCATCAAAAACAATGAGTTTGTGTCCTTTGTAGGGACTTGGATGAACCTGGAAACCATCATTCTCAGCAAACTGACACAAGAGCAGAAAATCAAACACCGCATGTTCTCACTCATAGGCGGGTGTTGAACAATGAGAACACATGGACATAGGGAGGGGAGTATCACACACTGGGGTCTGTTGAGAGGACACAGGGGAGGGACAGCAGTGGGTAGGGAGGTGGGGAGTGATAGCATGGGGAGAAATGCCAGATATAGGTGATGGGGAGGAAGGCAGCAAATCACACTGCCATGTGTGTACCTATGCAACAATCTTGCATGTTTTTCACATGTACCTCCAAATCTAAAATGCAATAAAATAAATTTAAAACATAAATAAATAAGAAAATTAAAAAAATAAATAAATAAAGGGAGTTGGGTTTAGATCCCTGAATCCAGAATGTTCTAAAAAAAGAAAGAAAGAATTATTGTTTTTTTTTTTAATTGCATTTTAGGTTTTGGGGTACATGTGAAGAACATATTGTTAAATTGTTGAAGTTGAACATGGTATAGTGAGAATGTATTGATTGATTGATCGAGGAAGAGTCTTGCTCTGTTGCCCAGGCTGCAGTGCGTGACACAATCTTGGCTCACAGCAACCCCCACCTCCCAGATTCAATCAATTCTCCTGCCTCAGCCTCCCAAGTGGCTGGGATTATAGGCATGTGCCATCATACCTGGTTAACTTTTTGTATTTAGTAGAGATGGGGTTTCACCATGTTGGCCAGGCTGGTGTCGAATTCCTGACCTCAGGTGATCCACTCACCTTGGCCTCCCAAAGTGCTGGGATTACAGGCATGAACCACCATGCCTGGCCAAGAATGCTTTTAAAAAGACTTCGTCTTTTAGATTTATATATAGTGAACTCTTTATGGAGAAAATAATGTAATGTTTGGTATTTACTTCCAAATAATTGACAGGTGGGTGGGAATGCAGATGAAACCAGATTGGCCATGGGTTGATAATTATTGAATCTGGGACAAGGGTACATGGGGTTTATTATACTCTTAAATTTTCCTTATAAAAATGAGAAAATTATTTAGCTCTTTGATTGGCTGAACAAAACATAAATGGGCAGGGGTGGGATGGGTGTTCAGGATGGGGAGGGGTGAGAAAGACAAGGAAGTCAGAGGTTTCAGAGATGCCGGACCCTCCAAGAAGTCACCTGGAGTTTGCCAAACCAGAGCTGTCTCTGGCAAAATGAGGGGCTTCTGATGGTGGTCCTGTTGTTTGCACCTTTATGGGCTTATCTACCAATCTCTTTCCATTTCATAAACAGGAATAGTCATAATTCAGAGGTGAGTCTCACAGGCTCTCTCAAGCAGTATGCAATAATAATAATAATGATAATAATAATGCCCTTTAGGCAACAATCCCCCAGCCCCTAGCTCACTCACCCTGGAGCTCCTGGGAGACCTGCTGATTCTGCTTTCACAGTGGGTGTCAGAGACAGAGGCGCAGGTGGTGCCGCTTGGGCTTCCGCCTCATATCCACCCATGTATTCCGACAGTAGCTCTGTGTCTTTAGGATTCAGGATGCTGCACACAGGTCACTCTGATTAGTTGTTTCTCTTTTTTGCATGGATTGCTGGGGGTAGGGCGGCCCTGGCTCATTCCACGTTCACAGCACACAGGTTCTGGACTATTTCTGCAGGCTTGAAGGAAATGGTTTCTCATACACAAACTCTTCTTCCTCCTCCATTTCTGGGGTTCTCTCATATCTGTGCCTGCAACACAAAAGATGGGTATTCCTGAAAGATCTGCCTGGGATCATCCATAAAGAGATGCAGTATTCTAGGTAAATCAGATTATCTGGTGGAAGGCTTTATCCTAACTTTCTTGGGGTGTTTCTGTGTAAACAGCAGTCTAGAGTTGGCCGTATATACCAAAATCGATTCTGCCCCCACTCAGCATCTCTCCTGTTTGGAGACAAAAGCTCAGGGAGAATGGGCATTTTCAGGGAGCAAACATGTGTTAATATACTTCCAATGGCTGAACCTGAGAGCTTGTCTGGAGGTTCTAGCAGGGGAGCGCAGCTACTCACATGCCCTTGACCGAAAATCAGTCCTCCTCTATCAGGGATGGTTGTCTTCAGCTGAGCACGCAGCTTCGGGAGGGACACACGTGGAGTGGTGACAGAGGAAGGGGACACCCACCTAGCCAGCCAGATCAGCCGAATCAACCCTCGAGATCAATCGGGTGACAGGTACTGCAGCCAGATCGCCCTCACGTCCAGAACTTGCAAGCCAATAGACTTTTCGGTGGAATGAAAGAAATTCTGCAAAAATTCCTTCCATGAAAAATGCTGAGGTTAGAAAAAGAACTCTTGATAGATTTTCTAATTGGAAGACCCAAAATTATATTTTCTACTTTACAAGTAAAACACCTCATTAAAGAGCTCTTGAAAAATACAAAAGAAGGGGAAAAAAAAGAAAAAAACTAGCCATAGTTCTACCCCCGAAACACGGGTATATATACATTTTAATCTATTTTATTCTGTTCATTTTCTTCTGACATGCACAGTCTCCATCCTCTGCAGCCAATGGTTGAAAGTCTAGCATACACAAACTTTAGTGTAACTGTTGTTTCCTACCCTGTTATAAAATGTCTCTGTGTTTTCACGTTCTCTCCGTTAGAGACATGTTGCCAGATGGTTTCTCAAGGAGCTCCTCCTGGTGTTTTTCACCCTTCCCCTATAAATGGGCAGATGGGATGTTTCCATTTTTGCCCCATAGCAGATATCTTTTTCTGTATTTGGAGTGCTCTCCTTAGGATTGAACGCAGAAGTGGGAGTTCTGAGTCAAAGATACTGGATCTTTTTATGGCTCTTGACTCATTTGGCCAATTTGCTTTTCACAGATTTTGCAAAAACTTACACCCCCACAAGAGTTCAGATTTGAGTCTTTCCATTTTGAACGACATTGTTGCATGTACCACACCTTCTATAGTAAATATTTTCCTGCTCAGATACAACCTTTAAAGGTTCTGACACCAGAGACAGTATCTTCCCCTATTCAAAGCCTTCAGCTCTTTCTGGAAGATGCTGGAAAGCAGGCTTGAGGTGCAGGATACGATTAGAGTCTGTCCTTGTTCTCCCATCCTCAGCTTAGGCCACTGGTGTTCATTCCTGCCTTTTCCTCCTGGGAACAGTTCCGTAATCTGAATGCCCTGCAGCAATTCAGAAACCAATTCTGCCACCTAGACCCTGCCTGGTTTCCACTGCTCTGTGGTCATGTTGGCCACTCCCTGGTTTGGATTCTTTCTACTGCTACTCAAAGTCCTAGTGGAGGCGGAGGGATTAACGCTAAGGGGTTAAGAGCTCAGCCTAGTTCTCTGCTCAAGGAATGCGCTGTTCCTATCCCCCTAAGACATGCAACAAAATTATCAGCAGGTTTTGCCAACTTAAACTCTACCCAGGAGAAAAAGATCCCTTCATGCACCCCCTGCTTTTTTTTGATACTAGAGAGAGAAAGAAAAAGAGAGATTAAAATATTTACAAGTATCCAGTTGTTTTCCTTCTTTGGGAAGTCAAGTATTAGAGGAAAACAGACAGACAACTGTGAGCATTTAGCGAGTGGAAAGAGAAACAAGCAGGTTTCAGCTGGAGCCAGTCAGGTGGCTGGCAGCACTCACCCAGGGGATGGAGTTTCTGTCCTGCTTATTTTGTTTCATTCTGCCCACAGGAGAGGAAGAGCGGCTGTGGATGCAGCAGAAGGGGAGTGCTGGGGGCCGAGGGGGCCATCTCCATGTTTAATTCAGCTTACTTTGAGAGTAAGTTAAAGTCTTATAGCAAAGAGTTCCTCCATAGCAGAAATTTGGGAATCTAAAAAACGTCAGAAAAAAATTAAGCTTGGAAAGATGTTAGTCTGTGCATAGACCCAGAGCAGAGGAGCCTAGAACACGCTGATAGCTCCTCGAGGTGAGTTAGAAGCACAGTCATTCAGGATAGGTGGTTGGGAAATAAATAGCTATTTATTTCCCATAGCTAACATCTCTTCACTGCTTATTATGTCCCAAGCACTATCCAAAACACTTCCCACAGATAAACTGTTTATTCCTCACTGCAAACTTACACGGGAATGACTATTGCCCCCGTTTATGGATGAGGACACTGAGTCACAGAGAGGGTGTGTGATGAGACTGGTAGGTTGGGGCTGTGAATATTCTGGGGATAATTACATGGGCTGGATCCTGAAGGTAAGGAAGAGAAAGGAGAAGGGGATGGCAAACAATCTTTCTGGGATGTGGATGCCTAGCTATCCACACCCCAAAGCTGGAGGTGTCCCTGGACTGACCCTGTCCCTCTTCTCCAGTTAATTCTGTAATTTCCCAGATCCGGTCCATCCCCAGCACCATCCCTACCACCCACAGCTGCTCTCCCAGTGTCTTGCCTGGGCTCTTGCAGTGACTTCCTGACTGGTGAGCCGCCTTCAGCCCCCAACCCTAATCCATCTTCTATATTCTTCCCCCAACCAGTAATCTTCCTCTAGCCTTCCTTGGCACCTTATAAATATCTCTATTTAGTATTTGGCACACTAATGGTAATTGTGAATTTATATCAGTTTATCCAGTCCAAATACTTGTTGAATGAAAGAATGAGGGCTGGGTGCGGTGGCTCACACCTGTAATCCCAGCACTTTGGGAGTATGAGGTGGGCAAATCACAAGGTCAGGAGATGGAGACCATCCTCGCCAACATGGTAAAGCCCCATCTCTACTAAAAACATACAAAAATTAACCAGGCATGGTGGTGCGTGCTTGTAATCCCAGTTACTCACGAGGTTGAGGCAGGAGAATCGCTTAAATCAGGGAGTTGGAAGTTGCAGTGAGCCGAGATCGTGCCACTGCACTCCAGCCTGGTGACAGAGTGAGACCCCGTCTAAAAAAAGAAAAAAGAAAAAAAACAGAATAAGATAATATTCAAGGAGCAGAATTAACATTTGAAGCCTGAGGGATAAACCTTGGACCCATAGATAAAGGACTTTGCATTCCCAGGGCCTAAGAGCACCAAGAAGTAAATCATGCTAGTTCACCTTAGAATGAGAAAGAGTGAGCAGGCATGAGAGGCTAGGGATAGAACCAAGTGGATTGGGGGGTTGCTGGATGATGTCAGTGCTTTGCACCGATGCCCATAGAGATGAATAACACAACACATGATTCTGGTAAGTTAAAAGTACCATGACTATCAGGAGTGGGATCTTCTGCATGGTGGCAGCTCAAAGTACTCCATAATAAACAGAAGTGGCAGCCAGTTGAAGCAGCTTTTACTTATTTGGAGATGTCTCACTCACCCAAAGGCATCCTCATCTGGGGAAGATGAACACAGGAAAGTGATATTGCATGTGGCTGGGAAGGTCACACACCCTGGGAGGGGTGCAATCTGTGGAAAAGAGGATTTCTAAGCCACTCTCCGTCTGTCCATTTTTGAGCATATTCTTGGTCTTTCTTGCAGTGCACACAAGTCTACAGTTGATCTGTAGGTGAAATGAGAAGGGAGATTTAGATTTAGAAGCACTGACCCTCTTTTCCCCAAAGATGCTAGAAGGTCAGGTGTATTTCTGCTTTTATTTAAGAGTGTGATTTGAAACAGCCAGGGCCATCCCAGACCCAGCTGGCATTACCCTGAATGTTCATTATTTTGAATGTATCACTAGAACAATGAGTGACAGAAGCGATGACGTGATGTAACAGAGAGAAAATCTGGGGTGAATGATTTCACAAGTTTGTCTCTGCTCCTATGATGGGAAAAAACGAAATCTAATTGTCCAATCCAGAAGTGGAAGAGATCATGTTATCTCACAACCTTTAAAGGTTTTACATAGTATTTTTGATACTGAGAAGGCTAAGGCATTATTGCTTATGTTCTAGTTATAGGCCTATCTAATGGATTATTGGTGAAAGACAAAGCAGAGAGTCATGAATATGTCTCTGAAGTCAGTGCTGCGGCTGCCCATGGATCTTCTGCCTCCTAGCCACGTAGTAGAGGTTGCCAGGATGGACTAGTTCATTCTTGTAGTCAACACACTTTTTTTTTTTTTTCAAGATAGTCTTACTCTGTCACCCAGGCTGGAGTGCAGTGGGGCGATCTTGGCTCACTGCAATCTCTGCCTCTCAGGTTCAAGCGATTCTCCTGCCTCAGCCTCCCGAGTAGCTGGAATTGCAAGCATGCATCATCACACTGGCTAATTCTTGTATTTTTAGTAGAGGCAGGGGTTTCACCATGTTGCCCAGGCTGGCCTCAAACCCCTGACCTCAGGTGATCCAACCACCGTGGCCTCCCAAAGTGCTGGAATTACAGGCATGAGCCTCTGCGCTTGGCCAGTCAACACATATTTATTGAGCAGCTACTATGTGCTAGGCACTGTACTAGGAACTGGGGATATAGCAGTGAACAAAACAAAGTCCGTGTTCTCGTGGAGCTTATAATCTAGTTGGGGGAGACAAAAAATAACTGCTAAACTTGTACTATGTCAAGTGATAATATAAGCTATGAAGAAAAAGTACACACAGCAAGGGGAAAGGGCGGAGTTCCTATCTCACAGAGAATGGTTAGGAAAGGCCTTTCTGCTGCAATGAGCACAGATTGAATGGCGTGACGGAAGGAGCCCTGTGGTTGTCTGGGGTCAGAGTGTTACAGGAAAAGAGAGCAATAAGGACAAAGGCTGCAGGCAGAATCATGCTCAGCACACTCCACCAATGGCGAGGAGGCCAGTGTAGCCAGAGCGACGTGAGTACGGGGTGGGTAGCAGATAAGGTTGGAGGAGAAGACAGAGGCAAGACCACATGTAGCCTTGGAGTCCATGCAAGGACCCTGCATCCTCTTCTCTTAGTGAGAAGAGAAAGCTTTGGAGAGTTTAAGCCAAGGAGTGACACGATCCGGCTGTTGTCATAAAAGCCTCTTCTCTGCTGCCATGTAGAAATGTCAGCAGAGGAACAGGGTGAAAGCTGGGAGCCCAGCCAGGAGATGGCCGTGGCTGGGACTGGGAGTAGCAATGGAGATTTCAAGAAGTGGGCAGATTCTAGACACATCTTGAAGGTCAAACTGATTGGATTTGCTGATGGATTGGTGGAAGGCGCGAAAGAGAGGCAAAAGGATGAACAACACGCTGTTGGACCTGAGCAACCGGAAGTGAGAAGTTACCCCTGATGGGACGGGAAAGATTTCTCAGGAGAAACCAGTGAGGAAAAAAAACGATGGGAAGGACTGGGAGGAGAGAGGAATCCAGAGTTCTGTTTCTTTTCTTTTTTCTTTCTTTTTTAAAGACAGTCTTGCTCT